GCATGGTGCACCTGTGTCTGCACTGCTTTGTATGCAGACACATACACATGCACACATAGGCACGCACACTGTGCATGGTGCACCCGTGTCTGCACTGCTTTGTATGCAGCCACATACACACGCACACTGTGCATGGTGCACCCGTGTCTGCACTGCTTTGTATGCAGACACATACACATGCACACATACACGCACACTGTGCATGGTGCACCGTGTCTGCACTGTTGGTGTGTGGTGAGCATGTCTGCCAGGCCTTAAAGCACAGGCTGTCTGATGGCCGCAGATCTCACTCGAAGCACTTCTGCTTCTAGCTGCCCCTGAACCCCAAAGGTGCTTCTGTGACTGAGAGCCCCTGTCTCCTCAGCCCTCAGCATGGCTGACATTTATGCAGGTGGCTCGGCTTTCCTTAATAACTCGAGCCGACACCAACAGTGCAGACATGGGGGCACCATACACCATGCGTGTCGGTGAGAAGGGATTGGCTTGTTCACCAGCCCTCTTGGCGAAGAGGCCCCGGCTCTTCTCTAGTAGCAGTCGGTTTGCCACAGAAAGGGGACCTGTGTATCACTCACCTTGCTCCTTTGGGGAAACACTTTGCGTGTGTGCTTGTCAGAGTGGCAGGTCAGACAGAAACTTGCTGGAGACCTGTCTGGCCCCACCTTCTCTCAGGCTGCCTGTCTCTTGGGGACAGCTTCTAAAGTACTCCCCAAAAGGAAGTGAACCCCAGTTCTGTTGCTCTCTCCACGCACACTTCAGGTGGAGAAGGCCCAGCTTGGAGGCAGGGGATGGACCTGCGCTCTCACCAAGCGAATGGCTGGCCCCAGGGAGTCTCTTGAACTGTGGCAGTGGCTAGGTGAACAGAGGCCCACCTTTGGGCCTGCTGCCTGAGCCTTCGGGAGTGTTGTTGATTTGTTTTGTTTTTTTGTGTGACTGTCTTGGATTGCTCAAGACTGATCTGGCAGTTGGAAGAAGGATTTGGGGCTCCTGGGATGTTTGAAGGAATTTTTTGCCATCTCTTCTAGCATTTGTGTGCTATTGGAGCATCTTGAAGAAACTGGGTGCTAAAAATGAGCCAATACCAAGGGCTCAAGTAGTAAGAACATGTTTTGAGAATGATGATGGAAACATAGGTACAAATGTGCTTGACACAATGGATGGATGGATTGTGATAGAGCTGTAAGAGCCCTCAATAAAATGATTTAAAAAGAAGAAGAAGAAAAGAAACTGGGTGCTCCTGTGGTCATGGGTGGTGACTGGTCCACTAGATTTAAAAATGGATTTCGGTCCCTGAATGAACCACGGTCCTGTGAGTTACGGTGGTGCCCCCTGAAGTGTTTTCTTTGAGGGTGTCTGCGGGGGGAGCTTGAGTTGGCCCCGAATACTGTGGCAGACAAATAATAGGGAGGATGCAGCTACCTGCCATATTTGTGGGTGTTGATGCTAGCCAGCGACCAGTCCACTCCGGCTCCCCACAAGAAGGGACAGCAGGTCCTATCAGACAGGGTCCACCCCAGGAGTCATCAGAGCAATTTTTCTAACAGATAACTTATGATAAACATTTGTGGAGCCAGGTCTGGGAAGAATTGAATTGGAAAGGCCAAAGGGGAACCCAAAGATTCTGTGCAGGAGGCATCTGCGAACACCCCAATACCAGCTTCAAGAAGCACCCCTAGGCTGGTGGGATCGCAGAGAAGAGTTAGGAGGACGTAGAGAACCGAGAGGGGTGGGCTCTGGCTGCCTCGTGCCGTGTGCCGAGTTCTGTAGGAGTGTGTGACGGACTTCCTACGCATCATGGAGGAGCCACCAGTGGACTGGGCTCCTGCTAGGGGAAGCTGTCATCGTCGCTGCTAGGACGAGCCAAGAGGGGGCTGTGCTTGAAGAGCTGCTTGGAGAAGCACCACCGGAAACAGGCTTCTGGGAGGAGTCCGTACCCTCTCCCTCCCACAGCCCCCGAGGTCGCACTCCTTGGACAGTGGCCGGCAGGGAGCCAGATTCCAGCATCACAGAGCTGAGTGGAAGGGTGGGTTTGAGCTGACGCCTGCAGAAGGTTCTTCCTCTGGGACCCTGAGTTAGTTAATTGTGCCAGCCTGGCCGATAATCACATGTGGGGCTGGTTGAAAGGCAGAGGGATAAATGGGTGGTGAGCCTCGCCTTTCTAGTTCTCGGGTCTCTTGTTTTGTGATGGTTGTATCGGGTGCAGCTGCCTTAGCAGTTCCCTGCTTCAGCTTGCAAGATTGACTTCCTACAAGACATCCCCAAGGAGAAGCCGCATGGATCTATCCCGATGCAGCCCTGGGTGCTGGAGCAGCCGTGTGGAGACCCCTGCCAGTGCTGAGATGCTTACACGTTCACTGACTCAGCTTTTCTCCTGCAGTCGGCATTATTGCCTCTGTTTTGTGAGGTGGAGGACTTTGTGGACTGGTGTTGGGTATGGGTTAATGTTGGACTGGTGGGCTTGGGCAGCATTGGGTTGGGATGTTTTCGTGATGCACATTTTCTTTGCATAAAACTCTCTCTTATACGTGAGTTGCTGTGGATTTGTTTCTCCAAAGTACCCAGACTACCACAGACCCAGAGGCTGTCGTCTCTTGAAGCCCGGCCGCTGCGCGCCATCTTTTCTCCCAGCCTAGCTCTTGGTCTTGCACATGCAGTCTGGGTAGGTAGACTCGAGCTGATGCTCACGTGATGCTTACTAATAAGCCAATTTGGCTCCTGGAGTTTGAAACGGACATGCCAGCCTAGGGGCTTAGCGTTCTCTTCCATTTAAAAGCAGAAAATAGCAACTCCGCTCTCGGTCAACTTGCCAGTTCCAAAGGATTCATTATCCGCACACAGAGAAGCAGTGGAGCAGAATATTTTGGGAGGGTTTTCAAGATTTGTGTCATTGTGACTTCAGATCTGTTCCTTCCGAGTTTATTAGAATTTTAATCGGTGTATAGCAAGCCAAGAAGTCAGGTAAAGTGCATTTGCAAAATACCTGTTTAACATTTCTTTGATCTCTTTTAAGTAACACAAAGCTGGCTTGATTTTTTTTTTTCTTTTTTAAAGTCCTTCGGTGAATGTAAGTCCTAAGCATACGGTTCAGTGAATTCCCACAAAGGGAACATGCAGTACCGTGAATTCTCACGAGGGTAAGGATCAGCCACGTGAAGAAATCGACCACCAATGCCCAGAAGGCCCTGCTCTCCTACCCTGTTACCCTTCTCCTTCCCAGAGGCCACCACGCTCCCACTTGCCGACAGAGAGGAAATGTTGCCTCATTTTTAAACCTTCAGGTGGGACTTGAAGGTCGGTTGGTTGCTGTCCAGGTGACAGAATTATTCTGGGACACACGGGGCCTCATGCAATGGAGTCCCCGCAACAGGTGGACTTTGCCTTCCATCTGGCACAGCAGGACCCGGGGGCTGAGTTATCCTCCAGGGCTGAATTGACCCCAGTGAGGGGCGGTCCGTGTTGTTGCCTTAGTGTGTTAAAACCAACCCTTCACTGGCGGGCAATCTGGCTGAGAGCATGCCTGTGGACCCCAGGCTTGGGCAGGGGTCCTTCTGGTTTGTGTGCTGGGGCCTGGGCTGCTCCTTCACTGGGGTCAGGACTAAAACCAAGTCCTTGCAGCAAGGAGTAGCCATGATCTAGTACCACCGTCTTGACAGAGGCAAGCTTAGCCAGCTGCCTTGGGCTCTGTGGCTCTGCCCGGCTGGCTGCGTGCACTCCAGCTTCTTTTCTGACCCAAGGAGTTGAGGCCTGTCCCTGGGTTCGGCCACCCTATGGTAGTTACATACTGTGTGGCCAATTTGAGATGTAAGAGTGAAGGGGTGGCGTTTAGCATGTCAATGGGGTCGCAGCTTGACCTGATTTGGAGGCACTGAGGAGACAAATAGCTTGCTGGAGGTGTGACGCTTGCACACTCCCTGAGAGACATTCCTGTGGACAAGCCACGTGGAGCTACACTGGAGCTCTGGAGCTGAAGGAGGCAGGTGGAGACTTCTGCCAGCACTGAGATGCTTCCACTGCCACTGGATCCATAAGACTTTGCACCCACTGGCCTGTGATCTTCCTGCATTCACATCATTGCATGTGTTGCATTGAGTCTGAAGAGGACTTTATAGATTGGTATCGGACATATGGGCTAATATTGGACTTATGGACTTGATCTGGACTGGGCTGGGATGTTTTCTCAATATTCAATTGCTCTTGTATATAAAGCTTGTGAGTGTCTAAGAATTTGTTTCTCTAGTCTACCCAGACTGACACACACCCTGCTACTACTCTGTCACCCACCGCTGCCACGGTTGTAAGGGTGTTGCCGTCAACTCCAGGGTCTGTGTGGTATAAGTGCAGGGCAGGCTCTCACACACGGTTCTGTGTCTGTCTCTCACAGGTGCTGGGATTCGAAATCGATGCTGTAAACTCTGTGCAGTTTTCAAACCACACAGGTAATTCCTTGGCCAGCGCAGCCAGGCCATTGTTTTTAGTCCCGCGGCGAGGGACGAGTTTGTAAAGGCATAGGGGTGGTGACAGCACAACGTGGCGGGTATAGTTCAGGATAAGTGCCGTCACACTGTCAAGTAAGAATGTCAGAAACAACATCCTCAGTAGCCTATCAGAATGGTACCCTGGAGTCCTTGCTGTCTAAGAAACACATGGAGCCAAACACGGAGAGGAAGACCAGCTTGGGTGTTTGCCTGAACTTGGATGCTAAGTCCTCCTTGGGTGTGGAGGTCTTGGAGCAGAATTACGGGTCATAGTGCTTAGTAGGGCCCTATCATAAAAAGACCAAAAACTCACTGCCATCGAATTGATGTCAACTCATAAGGACCCTATAAGACAGGGTAGAACCGCCCCCTGTGTGGTTCCGAGACCGTAACTCCTTACGGGAATAGGAAGCCTCATCTTTCTCTCGAGAAGCAGATGGTACTTTCCAAACTACTGACCGTGAGGTTAGCAGCCCGACACCTAGCCCCCATGCCACGAGGGCTCCCAGGACCTGCAGAAAGGTTCTGGTGGCGCAGTAGTTAAAGGCCAGCCATTGGAGCCCATCCGGGGCTCTGCTGGAGTCAAGACCTGGTGACCTGCTCTCCTCCCCGAGACTTGTTCAAGCCACACTGCTTCACGAGGGGGACCACGGAGCAATCACCACACTGCCTCCATGCCTGGGAAGCCCTTTACTCAGAGAAGAGAGGTGCCCGGATCCCCTTCACCAGGGAGCCCGGCTCTCCCCGGCCACAGCATGTTGCCCAGGCAGGGCAGATGTCTCCCTGCCAGCAACAGAAGCGGACTTGACTGGTTGACTGGTTGCCGTGCATGTGACAGACAAAGTCACTATGCGCCCGGAACAGGAAGTGGTCTGTCTGATAAGAAGAAACTGGGTGAAAGGATTCCTAGCTTCCTCACCAGTGATTGCCCTGGACCCAGGCCTTTTCCTAGGCAGCCTTGACAGGAAGACATGGAAGCAGACCACTCCCCAAAAGGATCCTTTCCCAGCCTGATTGGGGCCTCCTCTGCTCCCCTTCCCTCCCCACACCCACGAAATGTCACGCGTGAGGGCCTTTGGAGAGTAGGTGTTTATTGTCTGTGGACATTGGTTATGCATTGGGCTGCTAACTGAAAGGTCAGCAGTTCAGAACCACCAGCTGCTCTGTGGGAGAAAGACGAGGCTGTCTGCTTCTGTAAAGAGTTGCAGTTGGGAGGGGTGGGAGGGAGGGGGAATACAAAGAGGAGCTGATACCAAGGGCTGAAGTAGAAAGCAAATGTTTTGAGAAGGATGATGGCAACACATGTACCAATATGCTTGACACAATGGATGGATGGATGGATTGTGATAAGAGCTGTAAGAGCACCCAACAAGAGTATTTAATTAAAAAAGAGTGACAGTATTGGAAACCTACAGGGGCAGTTTTACCCTGCCCTGTAGGGTTGCTATGAGTCCAAATGGACTCGATGCCAGTGAGTTTGGGGTGTTTGGGGGGACTGTGGGAAGGCAGGAGACTGGATTCGGGGCACCAGCAGGGCTGGACTCTGCCCTCCGGGGAGGACCTGGCCTGTGGCTGAGCTCCTGCTATCCAGCCTTTACTTGGCGACTTGCCCAGGGATTCTCCGGTCTCTTCTTCCATCCTAAGACACCATGCAGAATGGGTTGGGTTTAGAAGCTCCCTTTCCACCCAGTATGGCCCATTAATGTTAGCGTCACCTTCACAAGTACAGGAGGTAGAACTACTGCAGAACTTTTTTTTTTTTTTGGTGAGGGGGGCACAGTTCATTCCACCCCAGTCAGTGGTGACCCTCCAGTGGGTGGTGAATCCAGCCATCCTCCAGGGTCTGCATGTCCAGCTCAGAGCGGCTGTTGGAAGGAGTCTTCGTGGCATCAGGGACATGGGGACTGGCCTTCCAAGAGTAAAGCTCAGGGTGCTTGTGGAACAGCCCCTCTGGGTTTGAGTTGGTCCGTCACACCCAGTCCCCTGGGGAGCCTGCTGGCGGAGTGCTGACATGTCTGTCTACAGGGGCTGAGCCTGTTGGGGCCCAGAGTGCACACCCAGGCCTGGGGCATTCTGATCCACATCGGTCTCCGTCGGAATTTGATAGAGGCCAGGGAGCAAGGAATAAGTGGCTAGCCAGTAGAGCAGGCCTGTGATATGTGGATTTATACCCCCGAAGATGCACCCACGGCACATGGGTGTCCTGAGTGTGTCCCAGCTGACAGCCCCGCACACACACTAAAGGAGAGGTGGATCCATCTGTGCTGTGAGGGAGCACACCATCCTGGCTGCATCTCAGAAGGACCATGGACCCACTGGGCACTGTCGATGCCAGGGGAGTCATGAGCCCAGCAAGCCACAGACGATAGCCACTGTGTTCTTACTGTGGGCTGGGAGACTGGGGCATGGACAAGCAGAGACAGCTTGAGCTGGCCCTGTGCCCCAGCGGTCACCTTTGGGCACGCAGGATGTGTGGACGCCGAGTGACTGGAGTGTGAATGCATGGTGCCTACGTCCCCTGCTCTCCCCCAGGCTACGCCCACTGGAAGGGCCAAGTGCTGAACTCTGACGAGCTCCACGAGCTGTACGAAGGGCTCCAGCTGAACAAGGTGAACAAATACGACTACATGCTCACAGGTAAGGGCCCGCCCACATGCCTGTCAGGGAGGACAGTGTGTTAGTCTGGGTAGACCAGAGAAACAAATCCATGGGCACACATATGTGTATAAGAAAGAGATTTCTATACAAGAGCAATTGAACATTGAGAAAACATCCCAGCCCAGTCCAGTTCAAGTCCAGAAGTCCGATACCAATCTATAAAGTCCTCTTCAGACTCACAAAACAAATGCAATGACTCTGAATGTAGAAGATCACAGGCCGGTGGGTAGAGAGTCTTTGGATCCAGTGTCATTGGAAACATCTCAGCGCTGGCAGGGGTCTCTGCATGGCTTCTGCAGCACCCAGGGCTGCATCAGGGCGGGTCCATGTGTCTTATCAGCTGCTATGTCTCCCAGGGTGTGAGCAGAGAGTCTCCCACCTTCAAGGAGGAAATACTGGAATTCCCAGAATCCTTAGGGATAGGCTATGCCCACACAGAAGCCTCATTAGCTATGACCTGATTGACAGGCTAGACCCCCACCCCTACACGCTTAATCCTTAAATTGACAAATATAACTACCACAGACAGGAAGAGTTAACTCACATCCTGGTAGTCTCCTGGACTATGTGATGTCATGGCCACTCTTGGGGTAGGATCCATTGCCTGTTACTGGGACAGGTGGGGGATGGGGTGGGGGGGATGGGCTGGCTGCCCAGGGTGAGAGATTAAACAGGCTGGTCACTCACTGTACCTCTTGCATTGGCTTCCTTGGTAATCTCTTGGACCAGTTCCCACTCAGGGGGCCTAGGTGAGTCAGAGTGGAACTGTCTATCCCCAGGGTTTCACATGTCTACACCCTCTTCCGACCTCCTGCCTAGTCTCGATCCTCCAACCTTTTAGTCAGCAGCTGAGGGCCTCGTTGTCAGCGACATACAGAGCCCTCCTAAACCACCTGCATGACAGAAGTGGGCCTGATGTGCGCTGTAGTTACAGGTGGCCATGCTTATTGTTGAAAAAGAAAACCGTGCGGAAACTCTCCCATCCATAGCGTTTTCCTTTCATTGAACACCTAACGCTCCTGGGGCAGGTCCAGCCCTCCTGAGGGACTGCACCTGCACATGGGGAGGCTGTGGTCCAGCCCCCAGGCCCCTCAGGTTGGATGGGTGTGATGGGTGCTTTTCTCTCTCCTGCTGTGGTTAGCTGCTGCCAACCTCCCACTGTGTGTCATGGGTCTCCCCCTGTAGGGTACACCCGAGACGCGTCCTTCCTGGCTATGGTGGTGGACATCGTGCGGGAGCTGAAGCAGCAGAACCCCAGCCTCGTCTATGGTGGGTACTGGCCCCTTTCCTGGGGCTGTTGCCCACACCAGTGTAGTCCTGAGGTCCATGCCCCACCATTCTCCCCCACAGCCCCCCACACCCCAAGCCTCCCGTTGCTCTTTGTCTGACTCTGAAGCCAGCGTGACCCTTTGTGGGGATAGGAACGCCCCAATGTGCTTGCTCCTGACATGCACCGCCCCCACCCCTGGCTGTTGGGACCGGCGGCGTCCTTTCCGAAGCATCCCCGGGTCTGCTTTGGTTGCCCCTGAGAAGGAGCTGCAGCTCCAGCTCTATCCCTGAGGCCTCTCTCCTTCCAGGGAAGCAGGACTCTTAGACACATGTCCAAACTCCAAACTCACTGATGGCCACCAAGTTGATTCTGGCTCATAGTGACCCGATAGGACAGGGTAGAACTGTCCCTGTGAGTTTCCAAGGCTCACTCTTTGCAGGCGCAGAAAGCCCCATCTTCCTTCCTCTGAGGGGCTGGAACCGCCAACCTTGCAACTAGTAGCCCAATGTGTAACCATTACACCACCAGGGCTCCTCTCAGATACCACACGGGTATCTGAAAAGGGTATGTTGCTGTGCAGGCTGCGACTGATGCCTAGGAGCCAGCTTGGAGGGCTGGTGGCAGTCAGGCAGAGGATGGGCCTGCAGGGTATGTGTGTTGGGGTGGGGGTGGGGGTACACTCAGCATGCCTTGAGCACTCAGGAGAGATGTTCAGCAGATGATAAACTAAATAGCTCTTAATCATCTTGGGTCAATGAGGAGCGAAATGCCACAAACAAGATAAAGCCTGAGAAAGGGGAGGGGGCACCGAGCCCCTCAGGCTTTCAGTGGTGTGCCGATAAGCACGTGTCAAGGACACCACGCTGCTCTGCTGATGAAATGCCTTTGTGTCTCCGCAGTGTGTGACCCGGTGATGGGAGACAAGTGGAACGGCGAAGGGTCCATGGTGAGTGAGTTGTCCGTGCCTGCTTATGCATGGTGAGGGCGGCGGTTTCTGTTCCGGCCACACCCCAGGATCTGGCCTGACTGCAGGCTGAACGTAGATCCAACCAGTGTCATTGTTACCCGCTGATTTTTCAGAAGTACGGCAAGCCCTGCCCACTGCCCCTACCCCCATGGCTTTTCTTCCTAGTCTGTCTTCATCTGAAAGCTCAACCACTTCTTGTCGTGCCGGCAACGTGTGCAGGCCTCTGCAGACAGGCTGCGCATGAAACCACGCTGTGCGCAGACAGGAAGGGCATCGACCAGGAATTGAACCCCGCTGCTCTGCATAGAAGATTCCTACCACCGAATCTAACCAAACCAATCACCAGGGCTCAGGCTCCGACTCCTGGCAGGCCGTGGGTGTTGGAGTTGATCTGGGCGCCATCGGGTTCTCAGTGTCTGTGTGTCAGCTCACAGACCTGTCTTCTGAGCCAACCTTTTGGTGAGGGGCTACAGCACCCAGGAACCCTCTCAACCACCACTAGCCCCTCCTTCTCCCCGACAACTAGGGAGCTCTGCAGAGGCCCCGTGCAAAGAACTTGGCAAAGACCTCCTCCTTCGTGGGAGGAGCAGCACCTCCAGCAGGGTCTGAGAGTGGTTCCTAGAAAGGGCAGGCGGGAACTCATTAATGCTTGGTAGGCCAGACAGCTCTGCTGTTGCCTGTCCCCCAGGTTGCGTCCCTCACAGTAGTCAGAGCCAGTGCTGAGAGGAGCGGGCACAGCTGTGTTCAGGAAACTCCGAGGTTGTCTTTTTGTGAAGGCTGCGGCTGCCCTTAGCTCACACTCCCTCCCCCCGCAGCCTGGTCCTTCCTGCAATCCCCTCTGTTCTCTCTCTGCTGCCCCTGCAGGGAGCCCAGCAGACACTCTTGGGTTTGGATCCTGAAGGGCTGAGGTCATTATCCCTATACTGGGCCCCCAGAGGGGTGTGTGTCTGTTCTCTTGGAGTGGATTATCTTTCCGTTCCATTGCGGGTCAAGACCAGCATGAACACGGCCCCTTGGGGGCTGGCCCCATCCTGCCTGCACCTGACCTAGTGCCTCCCTTGCCTATGTCTGGGGCCTTGGGGACCCGTGCTGCCTCGGCTGCCAGCACCGCCTGGTACGAAGGTCAAACCCATGGGACAGAGCTGCAGTCATTAACTCGGGCTTAATCGCAGCTAGGAACTGGCCGAGCAGTTCCTAAAGCTGTGACAATTTCAGTGAATTTTGGCTTCTCTCTCTCTGTCTCTGATGAAAACATTTGCTGTTTCAACCTTTAAGACTCGTTCACAACCTTCCTAATGCCGCAACTCTTTAATATAGTTCTTCATGTGGTGGTGACCCCCCCAACCATAAAATTACTTTCGTTGCTACTTCGTCACTGTAATTTTGCTACCGTTATGAATCGGGCGACCCCTGTGATAGAGTCACTCAACCCCCAAAGGGGTCTCGACCCACAGGTTGAGAACCGCTGCTTTAGGCCATTTCAGGGTCTGCCTCTGTGTAAGCCTACCTGGTGACTAAAGAAAACGGCCATGTAGCACTGTTGAAGGACAGTTTAACAAAGCTTACTAGGTCAAGGGTGCATCCCGCCTGTTAACCAGAACCCGCGAGCATGGCTCCAGCTCCTCGTGTGCCCGGGGCGCCCGAGTGGGGAAAACAAGACATGGAGGTTTGTGTGTGCCTGGGAGCGCCTTGGAAGAAAGTCCTGGCTATTTGTTTCTGAGAAACCAGCCACTGGCAAGTCTATGGCGCACAGCCCTCGGACACCCATGGGGGCACCAGGCTCTGTGGCAACCCCCCAGCCCAGAGAAACCCCTCCTGTGGCCCTCGGACACCCATGGGGGCACGGCCTCTGTGGCAACCCCCAGCCCAGAGAAACCCCTCCTGTGGCCCCTTCCCTCCCTCCTTGCCCTCTTGACAGACTCTCCCTGCTCCATGACGGTGGACAACAAGGTCCTTCGGGCCCAGCCACTGGCAAGTCTATGGCGCACAGCCCTCGGACACCCATGGGGGCACCGGGCTCTGTGGCAACCCTCCAGCCCAGAGAAACCCCTCCTGTGGCCCTCGGACACCCATGGGGGCACCAGGCTCTGTGGCAACCCCCCAGCCCAGAGAAACCCCTCCTGTGGCCCCTTCCCTCCCTCCTTGCCCTCTTGACAGACTCTCCCTGCTCCATGACGGTGGACAACAAGGTCCTTCGGGCCCGCCCCTTACAGCACTTGGGGCTCCCAGCCCCATAGGAAGGTCTGGCCACAGGGATGCTTCCCAATACAGGGCACCTCTGAGCCCCCTTCTCCCACTTGGGACTGAATAGCTCCACCATTCCTTTCCAGTATGTTCCAGAAAATCTCCTTCCGGTTTACAAAGAGAAAGTGGTGCCTGTTGCGGACATTATAACTCCCAACCAGTTTGAGGCTGAGTAAGTATTTTCCCACTGCTGGATTCTGGGTTCCCGGGACCGCCCTTACCTCTGCTGGAGACAGAGGCTCATCTCCCCGGGGGCCTGCCCCGCTCTTCGTCTCTGCCGGAAGCAGTCGGTCCGGGCTGGATGTGATCTCCAGCAGTGTGTGCTGGAGAGCCCAGTCTCTAGGCTTGTGGTGATGGTGATAGTCCCACGAGGGGAATGGGCTGTCTGTGTGTGGATGAGGCCGGATTGAGGTTGGGCTTGTGTTGGGTTCAGTAAACAGCACCCCCTGAGTTCAGGCTGCTAGCTTCCTCAAATGAGAAAGCAGGCTGCCACCAGTTGCATGTCTGCTACATCAGCTTTAGAGACCTGCCCCAGCTGCCGGGCCCCCCTCAGTCACGTCTGTGGGCGTCAGCAGACATCCGCAGACAGTCTGGGCTGAGCTTGGATGATACGAGGCTGGGTTGGTGTGCGTCATGGCGGCCGGCAGAGGAAGCTAAGCTCGCTTGTGGGGTGGGTGGGAGTGGGGGCGGGAAGACCAGAAACAAACCCTCAGGTCTCAGGCGCTCGCTCGTGGGAGGACTTGGGGAGAAGACGTCTCATGTGGCCCCTACCTCTCCTCCATTCTCTGCCTTGCAGGTTGCTGAGCGGCAGAAAGATCCATAGTCAAGAAGAAGCGCTGGAGGTGAGGCTGGCCTGCGGAACAAGGGAGGGCTTGTGGACAGACGGCAGGCCCACCAGCCTCTGTACTGAGGCTCAGTATTGCTGGGACTGTGGCGATCGGGCTGTCTACTTGCTCACAATAAGAGCCTTAGCGGTGTCTGGGCACTTGGCATTGGCGGGTCCGGTTTAGCTGACTGGCTCCCACAACATGCACAGGCAATGCATGTCATCCCCCAGTGGACAGGAGAACAGTTACCCCCAAAGTCTGCAGTGACGGGCATGCCCAGCACCTGTGGCCAGAATGTCAGGGTGGCGCAGGAAGCCTGAGCTGTGGAAGGCCTAGCTCCGGCATGGCGTGTGTCCAGGGAGCTCCCAGCGCCTCCAAGTTGGCAACTTCCAGTTGGGCAACTCAAGACATCGATCGGTCCATTCCTTTCTCCCACAGAAAATGAACCAGTACAATCCTTTGTCTAGCGCAGTAGTTCTCAGCCTTCCCAATGCCGCGACTCTTTAATGCAGTTACTCATGTGGTGGTGACCCCATAACCATAAAATTGTTTTCGTTGCTAATTCATCACTGTAATTTTGCTACTGTTATGATTTGGGCGACTTCTGTGAAAGGGTCATTCAACCCCAAAAGGGGTCACGACCCACTGGTTGAGAACTGCTGGTCTAGTGGCTTTCAACTCAGAGAGACCCTATCAGACAGTGCAGTGACTGTCCCAGACAGACTGTGGCTCCAGGCAGAGAATCTGTCCTTCGGCAGGGCACAGGGAGGACCGGGCCCAGGGGACAGTTTTCTCTGCTGCTGCCATCATGGAAAGCCACTCCCTGTGCCTCTCTCACAGAGGGCACTTTGCCTGAAGGGGTACTTGGGTGCTAGTTGTGCCTGTTGCGGGGAGGCCTGCGGGCTGGACCAACAGCTCTCATCCCTAGGATGTGCCATGGGCATGGTGCATGAGCCAAGTTAACAATGTCGCTGACACAACAGGTGATGGACGTGCTGCACTCTATGGGCCCCGACACCGTGGTCATCACCAGTTCCGACCTGCCGTCCCCACGAGGGAGTGACTACCTGATTGCACTGGGCAGTCAGAGGACAAGTGAGTGTGTGTCTCTCCCTCCTCATCATCCAGCACAACCACTTGACCATGAAATCGGGGGCCGGCCATGGCCTCCTGGATCACATGTGTGGGCCCATCAGTCTGAGGGGTGCATGGTGTCCCACCCCACTCCACCACTGCCCACAAGACTGCCTTTCTTCCATGTGTGGTCTTTACCAAATATACCACAAGGGGGCGACTTTAAAGAACAAATTTATTTGCTCACAGATCTTGGAGCTAGAAGTTCGGATCAGTGTCTTAGTTTTGTTAATTCCGTCTGTGAGCCTGTCTCCTGGTGACTGTCATCGAACCTTGTCATGCCCAGCTTTGTGGATGGATTCTCAATGACATCTGTCTCTATCTCCCCATGGGCCTCCCCGTCTCCAGCCGCCCCATACCCCGCCCAAGCCCTACCCTACTCCAGCATGACCTCAGTTTGAGGATCCGTGTAGGAGAGGGTAGCAGATGGGGGCACCCTGGCAGGGTATGTCCTGGGCCCTGGATGCAGCTGCCCTGCCCCTGTGAGCGTGCAGGGAGGCGTGGGCCGAGCCAGAACCTTGGTTATCAGCATCCTGTTCCGTGTCCTTCAGAGCGGCCTGACGGCTCCGTGGCAACAGAGCGGATCCGGATGGAGATGCACAAGGTGGATGCTGTCTTTGTGGGCACGGGGGATCTCTTTGCTGCCATGCTCCTGGCCTGGACGCACAAGCACCCCAACAACCTCAAGGTCAGTGTGGCACGCCATTCCCCTTGGTCACCCAGCTGCCTTCTGTTGGGGACACTGATCAGGAAGTTCCAAAGGGGGTGGGAGAGCAAGACCACAGCAGCATCTGTCCCATGCTGGGAACAGGTGGGCAAGAGAGCCAGGGCTCCTGAGTCCCTGGTCTGGGATCAAGTTTGGCACAGGACCACTGTCTCCCCTCCACTCTCACACCTCACCTGTGAAGTTGGGTCACCTGGAAGGCATGAGCCAGGGGCGGGTCCCAACCTGTAAGAACTGAAATGTGAGCCACCCTGTCCATCTGAGGCCCCCTGGGCACCAGGGCAGGGAGGGTCTTGTTATTGCAAAGACACCACAGGGGCTGGGCTGCCTTGGAGGACCAGGGCGGGGGGTGGGGATGGGGTAAAGGCATTACTTGGGCAGGTGCATCCTTAGACTGTTGGATTGAACTCCTATGACAGTGGGGTGCCTCTCCTTCTTTTGGGCATTTCGCTGCCCATGAATGAGGTTGCATAGTCGGCGTACCTCATCTCAGGCTGGCGGCCTGTAAACCAATGGAGCAGGCTCCACTTGGGAGCACTCTGCTGTTGGGGCATCTGTCCCCCGCGTGGAATGTGCATAAGGCACATCGAGGGTGCCTTCTGAAGGCTTAGCCAGGACCTTCACTTCTGCCCTACAAGGCGACAGGGGAACATCTAGGGTCCTTTCTGATGTGCAGCCTGGGCCCCAGGATCTGTATCAACAAAACCTGAACAAGGCAGTTGGGGGCTCCTGGGGCCGCCTCAGTACCTCCCTGACAAGGAGGGACACAAGCTTCCCCGGTTTGCAGGTGGCCTGTGAGAAGACCGTGTCTGCCATGCACCACGTCTTGCAGAGAACCATCCAGTGCGCCAAAGGTACTGCCAAGGGGAAGGGGCTGGGCACCTCACTTCCTCCTCCCACAGGAAGTGGAACCAGGGAGGGAGGTGACCCAGGAAAGGGTGTGGGAAGGTCTCCTGCTGGACTGGGTCACCCTCTGCTGGCCACGGGGTGGGCTGGGTTAGGGGAACGGGAGGTCCCCTCTGAAACCAGACCCTGGGAGTGGTCTGGGTGGGAGGGCGGGCTCCTGGCCCATGCCCTGCCATCATGGCCTTGCGTGCTCCTGTAGCCCAGGCTGGGAAAGGACAGAAGCCCAGCCCGGCCCAGCTGGAGCTGAGGATGGTGCAGAGCAAAAGGGACATCGAGGACCCAGAGATCGTCGTGCAGGCTGCCGTGCTGTGAGGCCACGCGAGTGCACCGGCCAGCAGCGCACCAACCGTCTGTGTCTTCTTCATCGTCTTCGTCCCGTGAAAACGTAACGTCTGCCCTCGAGCTGGGCCTGGGATTTGACTGGATGCCTGTTGTTCTTCCCGGGGTTTCCGACCTTCCTCCGCTGTTCTGAATCGGGGAAACGTGTGGGCCACGCTTTGGAAAAATCATGAGGTGATCACAGGAGGTTGTCGTTTGTGGACTCAACTCTTCTCGTTCCTGAAGACGGCTCCTGGGTCCAGCTGGGTGCCTGGCTCCAGCCAGGGTGCGGGCAGGACAAGAGGGCGCCTTGTATGGCTGCGTGGCACCTAGGTCCTGAGTGGGTGGGCCCGGAGGCCCAAGTCTGGCCACCTCTGAGAATGAGCTTGGTTTTGATCGGTCCATCTAGGCATCAGATCAGGAACAATTATGTTCAATAGCTTCATGATCCTTCTAGTCCTTCCCTGTGCCCTGATACTCTTGTTTTTGTTTCTGGATTTGCAGCTCTGGGAGTCCTGGGGATCTTAAGGGTCTGTTTGCTCAGACCCTCCAGGCCCTGAGATCAGAGGGGTCTGTATCCTGTAGCTCTCTGACCCCTGTTTGAGGGGAGTCTTATCAACAGAGGTGGACCTGGTCCTTGGGCAGGTCCTGTGGATGTTCCCTTTGACAAACGTGCCCAGTTCGGGGTGCAGTCTGCATGGGTGTGCACACTGACCTGGAGCCTCTGGGCTTGTTCATACACTGGTGTGGAGCACAGACAGGGGCTTGGGTCTCACCAGAGCCTTTGCTCATTTGTTTGATTCCTGGGGCCAGGGCCTCTCCCTGCCCTCTTGCCGCTCTGTATTCTGTGCCAACTAAATGTCAGGGTGCAGGAAGTCACCTGAATCCTACCCCCAAGAGAAAGGGATTGAGGCTCGAGGTGCAGCAGGGTTGGGGGTGGCAGGTGAACTTCAAACAAGCAGCTCTGGGACTCTCCCCATCAGACTGAACCAGTGACATTAGCTAGGACTTTAGTCCAAGTGCCACTGCCCAAGTGTGGCTGCAGGACAAAGCCTTGGACCTGCCTTAGTCGTGGCACCCTCTTGTCCCCCAGCCCTAGAGGTGAGTCCAAGAGGGTGCAGACCTTTGTACCATGCAGGAGCATCGAGGCCTGCAAGGGTAGAGGGGACTGGCAGGAAGCTGGAGGTACGAGATGTGGCCTCCGGAAAGCACACGCTCAGTGGGGAGCTGCCACTTGCCAGGCTCTGACTCCTGTGAATGCAGTGTCACAGGGACTCGCCAGGGTAAGGCAGCTTCATTCCTGACGATGCTACTGTCCATGACGTCACTGCCCCATTCCTCCTTGTCACTTGTATTCGCACCCGCAACCTCCCTCCCCTCATTCTCAATGTCTCAACTCGCAGCTCCCCTCTCTTCAACACAGCTGCCGCAGCAGGCAAGCAGGTTACCCAGTGGCCAGCATGTCAGGGCATCTGGTTTATATCAGGTTGGATTTCCTGGCTGCTGGTTTGCCACCAAGAGACACAGAATCACAGGATCCTCAGAGCCCTGACCCCTCTGATCCCTGCAGGACCTCATGCAGCATGAGCCAGGCCCAAGGCAGGGACCGATGGGTGGTCTGACGAGAAACAGGGACCAGTCCCCTGTTGCAGCCAGAGGTCTTTAACACCTTTAAATTCTGTCACTGCCAAAGTGGGGACCACATAAGACACCACATCACCAGCCAATGAAGAATAGTTCCTTTGTTCTGTTAAAAAAAACCCAACAATATTGGAAGGAAGTCGGGGGCTGGGGAATTAGGTGGATTTTTCAGTGGGAGTGTGGGAGTCTCCCTGTAAAAATAGGGAGTTGGGTAGAGGAGCATGCTGGGTCTGGCTGAACACATAGCTTTAAGTTTCTCACCCTGGCAATTAAGATTGGACAGCTATTCCTTCCTTCCCTGAAGAGGTGTCGTCCCACAGCCCCAGGTCTCATTCCTGTCCTCTCGGAGTTACACACAGGTCGATAAGGATCGGTCCATCTGTAGGCGCTTCCCCTTGGTGTCATGGGCTGGAAGTAAGCTCTTCAGGAAAAGCTGAAACTTCTCTCCTGGCTTCCTGGGTGTCATTGCCTCTGGGCCTGTGGGTGTGTCTTGAGCAGCCCTGTGGGTGCAGCAGGAGACCTGCTGGGCGGTGTTGGGACACTTCTAGAAACAGTGCCTGTGCCTGTGTAAGGCAGGATCCAGCCTCCCCACGCCAATGCGCTTTTCGCTCTGACGTCGCTAAACAGCGGCACAGCAGGCACGCACACGGTTTCTGTGTCTGCCTGCTCCACGGCAGGGCCCAGGCCTCACTGAGAACCCCAGCCGAGAAGGTAGCCGTGACTGTGCAGGGCCTTTTTAGCCAAATGCGAATGTCCTTGTGTTGACCTTCCTTGGTTTATAGCATGCAGGTTTTCACATTAGACATGACTTGGTCCAGAAGTGTATTGTCCGTGTGCAGGATCTTAGCACTTTCTTAATCCAGTTCTTCAGCCGTCCTTTGGATCCAGGATGAACTGCAGAGTGTGATTTTTTGTGTGTTTTTGTTTCCTTAACCAGCTTTAATTCGTTCCCTAATCCAGCAAAGCTAATTGTATCTGCCTGTGTTTCGCAATATGGGAGTTTGTCGATGATTATTTAAGACATGATCCTTTGTTTAATTCCTTGTTCTTAAAATGGGTTAGGTCGAGTCTTTAAACCTGTGAACTTTGACGGGGGACCAGGCTGAGTCTATGTGCATTGAGAGGAAGGCAGGGGTTTTGTCCCAGTGTTGGGAAGAGTGGACGGGAGTGGTGCCGACGCTGTGATTCCTGAAGGGCCCTAATGTCATCATTGGTATTGCACCCCCACTGTCATGGTCGTCAGTGTCGGCACCCCCCCATACACAACCACAAGCATCACTATCAGCATCGAACAGGCCACCACACCCCCATCATATACATGAGCGTTGCAGGCAGGTGGCTTGGCTTTGGCCAGGGAGGCATACAAGGCAGCTCTGACCCCATGCCTTCTCATTGATTGAAGCCTATGTTCACCTTGTAGTTGACATGTGACATTGTGGGCTTCCTGGTGGCCCACACGCATACCACTTGATGGGGCGCCACCTGCTCGGGAGCATGGCGTTCCATACTGCTGGGGATCAGAGTCACCCATGACCATGGGCCTGGGCTGTTCCTGGTGACACAAGGATACACCTCCCTCCCCCCCAGCTAGGCTGGCCTGGATGCTATGCCCTTCTCTGACATGTCGTGCGGGCATGGGTCTATTCAAGGACCCTCCTGCCAGGGTCTAGTGTGGGGCTGTGCTTTGTGAGTGCGCCAAGCAGATTATGGCAGATGGGGACACTGGCTGTGAACCCTGGTGGGACAAGCTTGGCCTGCCTTCTGCTCATAAGAGCCCAGTGGCTGCTGGCCCGGCTCATCTCACTCAGGCCACTGCCCTCGCTGGGACTTGAGGGGCTTCCATTCTAAAACCCCAAGTGGACTCCTTACAAGAATCCTTCCTTAGGGAAATAGCCTGGACCCTACCCTCTGAGGTGACCTGGCAGATGCTTGCCAGCAGCGGGGCCAACTTGGCTCATGGGAGAACACCAGACCTACCAACCATTCACTGCTGGCACCCCACCTGCCAGATGGCCTGCTGCCACGCAAGTGCGTGGTACCTGCACGTGCATATCACACGTAGTGTTCTTGCCAGAATTGCCCGTGATAGGAGTCAGGCCACTATGTTGTCTCTGTACAGGTAACACAATATGTGTATTTCAAAGTCTAATTCCTAACTATAGCTCTGACCTGAGCCATTTTAAAAACTCTCCAGTGAGAGATTCCCTCCTGGATGACCCGGTGTTGTACTGGATTTAACACACACACACACACACACACACACACACACACACACACAGTGTTTTACTGGATTTAACACACACACACACACAGAGAACAAGGAGGACTTCACTGGATTTAACACACACACACACACACACACAGAGAACAAGGAGGACTTCACTGGATTTAACACACACACACATACACACAGTGTTTTACTGGATTTAACACACACACACACACACACACAGAACAAGGAGGACTTCACTGGATTTAACACACACACACATACACACAGTGTTTTACTGGATTTAACACACACACACACAATAAGAACAAGGAGGACTTCACTGGATTTAACACACACACACATACACACAGTGTTTTACTGGATTTAACACACACACACACACAATAAGAACAAGGAGGACTTCCCTCCAGCAAGTCAGACGGGCTCCCAAAAGCAGCAGCATCCGCGCCAGTGCAGTGGGCTTGAAGCCACCAGTTAGTTCTCCCGAGGAGGCGAGCATTGGCCCACAGGAGCCAGGAGGAGGCCCTGCTGGGCCTGACAGCCCTTCAGTTGGTTGTAAGTGGGACCAGGAGGGGGGCAGAAGCCTATGTGTGTTCCCAAAAAGTCTCTGGAACATGCTCCTTGGGGAGAGGTGCAGGCGAGAGTATGTTTCTGAACGGGACTGGCCTTTCCTGGGTTCAGTGTCTCCTCAAAATCGGGCGTGTGCAGACGGAGGCTGGGTTAATGTTGACATGCATCTGCGCAGTGTTGGGCTGAGGGCTGTCCCTGCACGTACAATTCGATGACCTTGATGGCGTTCTGTAAGTTGTGCCACCCTCCTCACCCTTTCAAGTTGTTCCTCGTTAACATAAACTCACTGGCCCCTCCAGGTCCTGACCTGCTGTTGGCACTCCGATCCCTTAGGCTAGGTGGTCGGCTGCATCATGAGCTGGAATGTCGGCCAATGGCTACAAACTGGATCAAAAGTAAGGGCACCGGGTGCTGGTTCCACTAAGGCCCCCTCCTGGCCCCATGAATGAACATAGATTGCTGGAGGCTGCTGGGGAGGGTGGGGAACCCCCCCCCCTCGCACTGTCACTGCTGCTGACAGGGTCTGTGTGCCAGGTCTGGTGCCCCTGAGCCCTCCCTACTGTGCGTGTGTGTATGTGTCTATAAAAACACACCTCAGTGCTCCTTAGCCTGTGTCTGTTCTGTGTCCGTCTGTTGACTGATGACTATTCACAAATAAATATTTTCATGGTGATGCTGCTGTCCGTTTCTCTGCCCTCGGGACCCTCCTCTTGAACACTAAAACAAACTCTTGGGAGCATGTATACACCCAACGGTGAGC